AATTTGAATGACAGCTAGATTAGGTTGAATACAGCAATTCCTCCACAGACAGATGTATCAGTATAGAAACGGAAATTGGAATGACAGAACTGAATGACATATTTTGTAATAGTTAGTTTGATTATATTTGCTCACACACATTATTCAAATCTTATCATGATCATGTCTTTCTGACTCCCTTCGAGTACATTCATAAGTGGATATGTGTTCTTATTTCATCTAGCATTTTGTTGATATATTCGCTCTTGACTCACTTGGGTATGATATACATGTCTCTTCGACTGACGCACTCTTTCGTGCAACCAATATGCCTATCATTTTTCGGGTGAGCAACAAACACTGGTTCACTTCGTTGATCTTTGATCTACTTCGATCATCCTCGGCTTAGTTCATTTGATTCTACCTCGTATATCAACTGACTATGAAGCAGGTGTCAAATCGAGGTATGCCTATCATTTTTCGGGTGAGCAATAAACACTGATTCACTTCGTTGATCTTCGATCTACTTCGATCATCCTCGGCTTAGTTTATTTGATTCTACCTCGTATATCAACTGACTATAAAGCAGGTGTCAAATCGAGGTTGTTTTTCATCGAGTTCAATGCAATTCTCTTTATTCCCCTCCAAGTTTTGTTTATTGTTCCTGGATGCTAGGTCAGACACATACTGTTTTTTTTTTTTCTGTGTAGTAACTTGATTCAATGATTTTTCTGGGTTGTTGATGATTTTTCGAAAGGCCCTGTATACATCCTTATTCACGAATTGTATCGAATGTAATATCAGAAACGATTTGTTTATTATATATCGATACGTATATTCAACTACTATCTGTCATGTGGATTCTGTTAGACCGTGTACATTACGTGAATAGTCTACACTTTCGGGACATTGTAATGTTTATTCTTCTGTATTGTTCACACACTGTTTTCCTGTTATTACTGCCTGTATATAATTTTCAACAAAACAGATTTATCCTATGTATTATGGTGCCAGAAATGTCATTTATCGAGTTAATTTTGATCCACCCATTATACTTCAGTCATGTTATGTGTTAATTGAATTTTTGTTGCTGTAAATGCAGAGTCATACCAGTAGTTCAATGATTATTTTGAAAGTCACGTTTTTTGATATTTTTACTCTCATGTTGGACGTTTTGATACACTTCTTTCTTCCATCGAGTGAACACACGTGAATTCCAATCAATTCTACAAGTTATCTTTCCGTGAGTTGTTCCGATTAATTCTCTCATTTTTGTCGATATCTCGCAGACTTTGATGGAAACTGCTTTCAGAGTACCCTAACGATCATGTTGATGAAAGAGAATGACGTTGTTCTATGGTTCACCCCATTCCCCAAAGCATGTCCTTGTCGATGTTATTAGGAATATAAAATGAAATTGAGGATAAATATTTTGTCGATAACTCTATTTGATTTGTCGCAGGTCATACTTTATTCAGATATCCCTGTATATGGTATACGTCAAAGTCTGTTCTGGAGATGTCTCATACATATCAGATGTTCCTTAACTACAATTCCACTTGAGGTTTTTCACCTGTTTCCCTTCTCCACCCTGTATATATTTTTCGACTAATTTTTTTTTCCTTATACCAACTCTATATGTTACGTACGCCAACGTTCTACTATAGATGTTCAATCTCAGATCCGTGTATCCTTTTTCAATTGAAATAGCTGAATGGGTGAAAAGAGTTGTGCATCGGAACGTGTATATTTCAGTGGAATATCGATCATTCTGCAACGTCTGACAACACTGTTCTAGGTAGGCAACTGATTAAAGTTTCCGCGCGTGCCTTTAGCTGGAAATGTGTGGTTTATTTCGATATCAGGATGGCATACTCGGAGAATTGCTGCTTGAATAAGCATATATCTATTAATACCCTAGTACGAAGATGCCTCTGAGAATGATGTGAATGGTGATTTTTTATTTATTTCATCTCTTGGTGTGTACGAGAGGAAATTCCTATGATATTCGTCACGTGCGTACCTAAGGAGGATAGGGAGGGAAGGTAGGTGTTTCAACTTTTGAATGAGTTTGGTAGAGTGTTGTTCGACATATTTCAAGGTTAACGACGAAAGGATGTCCTGACTGGGCCTGTCGAGGTCGTCTGACTGGTATTGCTAGTGATGGAATTATAGCAGAGATTTCTGAGGAACATTTCCCGTGGAAGTATCTATCATTTTTTAACGATTTTGAACTTCTTTCCAACGTTTTCGTGGCGTTTCTGTGACGTTTTGGTAACGTGTTTACGATTCAGTTTTTTTTTTTTCCTAGTCATCCTGCATATGTCTTTCTCGATTTTTCATTCGACTCTGACTATTTGTATTACCCTGTATATTATGATTTTGATTTCCTCATTATCATCTGTCATCTGCCATACGCCATCTCCCTTAAGTCTGTTATACCTGATCGTTTGCTTTCGGCTACGTTAGGAGCACCGGAAATATCATCACGATATCTTCAAAATGTGATAGTGGTCTCTGACTGGTCGGCTGAGTCACGTTTTTCAACCCGGAAGGTGGAGAAGGGGGGTGGTCTCAAGCGTTTGCTCTGGGTGAGGTTTAAAGCACCAGGAGTATCACCAAAGGTATACATTATCTATCAAGCGTTATCTGCCATATGTCAAATGTCAATCGTATACGGCATATGTTATATATCGTATTCGGCGAGGATGATAGCACTATGATTATAATGGGACAGTATACAATATCATGAGAGCTGAACATGCCCGTTTGATTCCAGTGAAGTTAGAATCACCAGGATATGAGCTATTGAGCAAATTCGACAGGATGTAAGCATGAACCGCAGTTTCGGACACACCCTGTATGCCTCTGAAGTTTTCCATTCTTGATTGGCTCGTGATGTCATCAGGCACCTGCTAATAAAATGAGGTTTAAAGATTGATGATATCTCTCAGCGAGAACAAAGGAGACATTGTTGGGTGACACTTTAGCCATCTGCACTTGAACAATTGACCTCAAATAAAGATGATGCAATCGGATAAGGTTGTTACGTAATTGGACACCCATGAGAGCCGAACATGACCGTTTGATTGAGGTTAGAATCACCAGGATATGAGCTATTGAGCAAATTCGACAGGATGTAAGCATGAACCTCACTTTCAGACACACCCTGTATACCTCTGGAGTTTTTCCATTCTTGAATGGCTCGTGAAGTCATCAGCCACCTGCTAACAAAATGAGGTTACAAGAATATCTCTCAGCGAGAACAAAGGAGGCTTTGTTGGATGACTCATCGGCCACCTGCGTCAGAACAATGGACCCATTGTTCTCTCACAGATAAGGATGATGCAATCGGATGAGGTTGTTACGTAATCGGACACCTGCAAACAAAGGCGGCATTGTTCTCGTATATTGCGTCGCAATTTCCCAATAGCTGGAATTCCAAGAAACGCTGACAGTGGCATAGAGAGAACAAAGGTGGCATTGTTCTAGAGGAAGTCTAGATAACATATGACAAACAAAGGAGGCATTGTTCTACGAAGTCGAGATGCGGATGACTCATCGGCCACCTGCAACATGCATATCGGGTGACCTTGAAACAAAGTGTTACCAATTGTAGTAATACCAACCTAAATCTGGTGGGCAAAGTAACTAGATTGTGACGTCATCCACCACCTTTCAAAAATAAGAAGAAGAATGTCCTAGGACACGCCCATGAGGTCCAGAGTCCAGAGTCTAGGGGGCTAAGTTCAGAGTACTTGCACGTGTCATTCCTTGTGTTCCATGTCATCTGTCACTTGTCTGTCATCTGTCACTCGTCGTCTGTCACCTGTCACTCTTTTTGTTCTATGCCACCTGTCACTCTTTTTGTTCTATGCCATCTGTCACTTGTCATATGTCACTTGTCTGTCATCTGTCACTTGTCATCTGTCACTTGCCATCTGTCACTTGTCATCTGTCACTTGTCATCTGTCACTTGTCATCTGTCACTTGTCATCTGTCACTTGTCACGTGTCACTTCCGGCGGCGGCCATCTTGTGACGTCACTTCCGTGCAGCCAACACCTTCTACCACAGGAACGGTTGTGACGTCACTTCCGGCGGCGGCCATCTTGTGTTGATACCGGCCTAGGTACACTACTAGTGTCCTGTCCAGTATTTTATAAACCTTGGATAACTATTCAAACTTGAAACATCTACTTTCTGACCCAGAAAAAAAAACATTACAACAAGTTCCATGAGACTTTCTGGTTTGGATTAAAGGTACTCAACTCAGCCCCGCCAAAAGCGAATGCAAAATGTAAGATTTCACTCATATTAATGTTACTATTGCAATAATATTTTTATATCTCGGTACTCGAGAGTAGTAGAGAATTGCAATTTTGGGGTTGTAAATTGAAGCAATTGGTGCAGCTATTTTCAATATGGGACAACCTGTATATTATTTTGGAATTTCTATGTTCCTCCCGATAAAACGGTCCCAAGAATATATCACACTTGTGGTGTGGTCTAAAACAATTCATTAAGAAATATGGTTACTTCAATATCCTTTATCCCAAAGAGACTACGTTTTTTAATTACATATGAATGAATAATGTAATTTTGCCTCATTTTAATCATCACAAAAAATTTTGGACTACCCAAATATACAGGGTGACCCTATATTCTAATAATTGCTCCTTTCAAACGTTTGTACCTGTACCTGTAGTTCTTAAATTAATCACAAGTGTGATAGTTTGTGGAAATCATTTCATCAGGAGGAACATAGAAATTTCAAAATATACAGGTTGTCCCATAAATAATTATGAATCTGATGTCACGTGACTGAAAAAGAGGAGCCTATTGGTTAACATAATATAAAAAAACTGCACCAATTGCTTAAATTTACCACCCCAAAATGGGAATTCTCTACTATCCAGTTCCCAGTAATTTCCTGTCTTAAACATCGTGGGACACCCTGTATATGTATATAATATAGAAAAATCGAAGTAGCAGCAAATCACAAGTAAGTAGATTATTTTTCCATCATGAAGGATAGAACTTTTCACACCAATAATATCCTGAAACTTGAAAGTGTGATTATCTGCTTATCAGCTGTCAAATCAAAAAACTTTAGGATATTATTATATAAATGTAGGATGTATGTAGAGTATCTGAAATTAATCAGCCATAATTCACTTGGAAAGGGTCAGACATTCTGTGCTATTTGTCATTTGTGGAATGCCTTGTCCTTTGTCAATATTATAATTAGTATGAAAATGGAAGGATTAACAGTCTAATCCCAATGAATTGACTCCTTTGTAGCCAACTGCACAATATGAAATGTCTAACCCTTGAAAGTATGCCCAATGATGTATACCCTCAGAGCAATAAATTGCCCTCAGTAAATACCCAAGTAGCTACTTATAAAAATATCCAAAATATGACTATCAAGAAAAATCAGTTGATAAACAGCAGACAAACCAGAACTACCCTTCCATGTTGAAGTTGAAGAAAATTATTAGAGAATGAGGTTAATTTTAGACTCAATTACTGATCTGCACAAGGGGCATTCTCCAATTGGTTTTGAACATTGAATGCAGCAACAGAAATGACCACATGGCACAAAAATCATTTCACTTTCTATATCCAAACATATTACACATTCTGATGTGCTAATTGCCTTGATATTTTCTGGCAAAGGAGCAGTTGCAGTAATTTCTTCTGGTGGAAGTGGTGGTGCACTAGCACATGTATCACTGGTTTTGAATATTTTCTTTTCTTCAGCATATATTTGAATGGCATTAAGGATTCCTTCCCTCTCATATTCATGAACTACTCCAGCCTTGATAAGATCCTCATCTGTTATACTTTGAGTATCACACTGGCTTTGGGTAAGTTTAGCCAAATAAGGGAGACAATGGATCACCTGATTGATCAAAAGAGCTTGTGCTAGCAGGGGATCAATATTTTTCTGTGCTTGTGATAAACCATCTGGCAATTTATCCAATAGTCTCTGATATTGTTTCAGCCAAAAATCTTCTATGCTCTCATTATTTTCTTCCATCACTTGTAAGGTAAGGAGTAATTGTGTCCTTCTCTCTTTTTGTTGGTCTAATAAATTCATCAGCAATCCTGATAAATTGTATCTCTTTTCACAAAGATCATTTATATGCTGGTCTACTTCAAGTCGTTTTTTATCCAATTCCAATCTTGTTAAAGCTGCCAATTGGGATTCAACCAATCTTATTCTCTGTAGAAGGCCCCAACTTCTAGCATCACCACGTTCAAGAAGAGCACCAACTGCAATTCTTTGCAAATTGTCATCTTGTATAAGTTTATTTACTAGTTCACATTTCTGTTCATCTTGACTTTGAAGAATTTCTAGTAATTTGGTATCAACCTCTGATTCTTGTTCCACAAAGCTTCTAGAGGCTTGTATTCTGCTTTGATCAAATTCTTTGAACTTTTGTGTTTCTTGTGTTAAAATATCTTCCATAGCTTTGAGAATATCATCTTTTCTCAAAGTTCCATTGTAACGATTCATGGCAGTTAACAGTCTCTCTTCTTCCTGTTTCTCTTGTTCCAACAACTGTCCTGGAGGTTCATTGGATTGAGCTAACAGATATATTATCAGTATATCAGCATTATTTTCAGCTTCCTGTAGCTGTTCAATGAGCCTAAATCTCTCATTTTCTTTATCCTGGTGAATCCTACCTAGTTCTTGGTCAAACTGATTTTGTTGATCTTTCAAATCTGACAACAACTGTTCTCTTTTCAGTTTAGATGTAGTAGCATATTCAAACTCTTGTCTTTTGAGGAATTCATTGTACCTTTCAATTTCCAAAAATTCCTTAACTTTCTGTTGTTCAAAATTCATAACATGTTCACTAGTTTTTTGGTCAACCTCATCTTCAACTTCCATAGAGGGCTTATAAACATCTGTTACACCTATATCCTCACAAATATACCTCATCATAGACACCAATCCTCCACTGAAACTAGTTGCTGGTGGGTAAATCAACTTTTCCTCATCTATTTCTAATGTATTAATTTTTGTCCATTTGTGAACACTCTTTGGTAAACTTGTTAAATTATTATTGCTTAATAAACATTTTCTCAAATTCACAAGGTTCCCTATGTTCTCAGGTAAATGTTTTAGAAGATTATGGGATACATCCAAAATTTTTAGATTTGTCAAGTGGCAAATTGTACCTGGCAGTTTTTTCAAATGATTATTACTTATGTAAAATTCTTGCAAGTTTGTTAAGGAACCAATTTCATCAGGCAAGGAGGAAAATGCATTGTTACTGATGTCCAATATTCTCAGGAGTTGTAATTCTTTTAAATTTCCTCCTCCAGACAATGAAGTTAAGGAATTATTTTGTAGCCTCAATGATTCTTTTAGAAACACTCTACAAAGTGAATATATTCCATGTGGTACTTCCCTTATATCACATTCAGACAAGTCAAAGATAGGTTCAGGATTCTCTCTCGCCAAGTATAATTTTCGTTCCAGCCTGGCTTTGTTGACTTTGGTCCTTCGAAACATTTCACTACTTGTTTATCAGGACATCTCAAATTACTCAATACGACAAAGGATTTCAAATTGTATGTATCTGGTCCTGGTTTCAACTGCAGTATTCACAAACTTGAGTAATATTTTGTATTATAACCTTTGAATATAACTTTCTTCATTTATGTTGTTTTGATTATTTGCATATGCATTTGACTTTGACAGTTTGAGATGTTTGTTTTCATTTTCAAAAACCCAGTGACTATAGGCACGTTGGTGTGCACGCAAAATATTTCTTACGTGCACGTACATGACGTCACTTACAACATGCGCGATTGCCACGCCACAGCGGACTGTATCGGACAGCCACACCGGCGTCTCGGGGCTCCCTGGTTTTATTGTAATTTATTCCACTCCCCAGCGAATGATGTATTAAGGTCTAATATATTTATTTATATGGAACAAAATTCGGGATGTAATTTCAGTCCATGATAGATGAGAAAAAATGTTTTTCGCCTTTTGACGTATGCACATAGAAATATCGAATATAAGGAAGGAAAATATCCTTTCTGTATAAACATAAAAAAGAGACATCTTACCAATTTCATTAGAATTCCTTGGAAAGTTGCATAGCAACAAACTTTTCCTGCCTAGGCAATAAAATTAAACCTTTTCTGCCTGTTAAGCGGCAGGAAAAAACCACTATCCCTGCCGCTTGGAGAAAAATGTCATTATAATAAGAAAAAATCATAATAATGACTTTTCAACAAAAGAAAAGTGCGATTGACACCAGGGTGCTTTTGTAAGAACCCGGGTAGCTGGCGTGGCACACTTCAAATGCATTTATTCATCTTCAATATGATAATTAACATGACATTTTCCAGCAGACAGAACACCTAAATATATATGATATAAATAAACAAATCCTCCACACAGTGTGGAGTTGGCTGGTGTTAGCCTTGGTAAATGAATCCCATCTGCTGAAGCCATGCTCCTCATAGTGAGTAATCTCCGAGGTGGACCCAGTTGGGTTAGGGGTGAATAAAAACATTGGGATTATTGAAAATTATTCATGTGAAGGAGGGAAAAGAAAATGAAACCCCTCTCGAAAACTCAGGTCGCATCGGACTCCACGTTCTCTGTCCCTTCACGCCGGCTACGCCCAGATTCGGCCTCTGTCAATCAGCCGGCTGGGGGCAACCTACATATATACCAGATAATCACTACAACCTCAGCTTGACAGGTGCCACAGCTGGGCTATTTGGCTCTCGGTAATTTTCAAGTACAACGCTTTCGCGATATCCAAGAAGAAACTCACGTGCTTTCATTTTCGTGTTGTTAGAAGATTCCATGTTCAACCACAGATGTCATGTACGTGTACGTAAGAAATTTTGTCGTCTTGGTAGCCGGCGCCGGCACATGAGGCATTTCTCAGGAGTTGACAGGAGTAAATAATTTCAAATTTTGTCAGACGTCAGTGACGTCAGACGACGTATGTATCAAATAAAAAATAAACAAACAAAACAAAAACAATATACAAGACAAATTTATGACAAATGCATAATGTGATATGAATGTGATAATAATTATGGGATAATCATAATCTAATTATTAGAAGTTTTAGAACTCGATTATCATATTATTGATATTGTCAAATGTTCATATCCTATCTCCATTGAAAGTATTTTGAAAGTTATGTAAATATATGGTAATAAATGTTCCCAATGAATTTGAAATTTTAAGCTGCTGTGCTGCTGTCGTGGCCGGTGATGGTGGTGGTAGTGGAGTGCGATCGACGATTCGACGGTCTCGATTGAATTTCACGCTTTAGAGTTTTCACAGTTGTGTTGTATGTTCAGTAATCAGTTTACTATGAATTACTATTAGTACTTGTTACTTGTTCTCAGTGCCATTAGCATTTGACGAAGGTGCAATACTATTCAAGTCAGAGAATATTCGCACTACTTTGTAGTTTGTTGAGTATCTAGTGCATTATTTTGATCTTAGTATTGAGGTGGTAGTAGGTTTCTTCAGATTTTTCCGAAATGGTTAAAGCTGAAGTAAAAACTAACCAGAAGAAAGAGGGTACCACATTCTCGGACCTGTATTTAATAAGTTACAATGGAATCCAGACTATTGGGTAAGTAGGTCCTTATATAGGTACAATTCAAATTCAAAATGCTCTTGTAAGTGAAAATAATACATGACTGTACTGAGCTATTAATCTATTAGGTATACCTATATGCTTGAGCCCTCACTTGAACCTAAAAGGTTGTTCAAAATCATTTTATTCATCTTGGTTGATTGAAACCAGAAATTGAATATGATTTTATTAGTGTAATTTGACTATATAATGTTACCCATTACCTCAGAAAAGTTCAGCCAAGTTCATATTCTGCACGAACATTACCTCGGACATTACTAAATAGGTAAGGAACATCATGATCTGAGAAAATCAATCTGCAGGCCATCTAAAGGGTTGTTACCACCCACCCTTCTAAGTATAGAAAAAATCAGAAATACTCCTCAGTAACATTTACTCACATTTAGCCCAATTCACATGCTGCACATACATAACCATAACTAAAAACTAAATAGGTAAAGAAAATTTTGATCAATTTGCAGGTCGTCTAAGGGGTAGTTACCACCCGTCCAAGTATCACCATGAAAGTATAGCCAAGTACATATTCTGCACAGACATTACTAAATAGGCAAATCATGTTCTGAGATGATCAATTTGCAGGCTGTTCAAAGCTAGGTTCAAAGGGTATAGTTAGGGAGATTGTGAAGTAGGCGATCGCTTGAGAGGAAATCAAAGGATTAACACGGGTCCAAATTTGAAAAAAATATGGTGGATAGAATCAGTTAGAATTATTCATAAAAATATTCAAAGAATCAGTGTTTCTACCAGTGGCGTGCAATGCTACTCATGTTAAAGTAGGCAACAATTTAAAAATGTGAAATGCAAAAAACAAAGATGGAGATGATCAGACATTGACATTCACAAATTCGCGATAGAAAATAACTCGCTGCCCCATCTGACGGCAACAACTTGAACACTTTTCAGCGGTTTGTTTTGATGATATGACCAATAATCAAAAACAAAAAACAAATGTGAACCAATAAAAACAAAGTAAACAAGCCGCTTTGACAGCTTTCAAGAACTCCGATAGGTGGCGTACGCTTATTTTCTATCGCGAATTGCGAATGTTACCAATGATTGTCACATTATCACATGTCGCCAATAAATCTCCTGTAAACTTCAGAATGTCGCCACAATTGTCGCCAGTCGCCAAATTCAATTTAATGTCGCATTTCACAAAAAAAAATAGCCGTAAATGCGTTAAATCGCCATACCTGGCAACACTGTCTTTGGCCGTCTTCCAATAATCGCTCGGGTCCCCCCGGCCGGTGGAAATCGGCACTAGCGTCTGCGGACAGATGCAAGTAATAACTCCGTGGTAGGGGAACGTTAGTTAACTTGTGTCGAGTCTAATATAAGGAAGGCATTTTTTTTTAACAATCAATCGACCTAGATGAACCTTTTTTCTTGAAGAAGGGGAATTTTTCTTGAGGAAGGGAAATATTGTTTCTGCATAAAAAATGAGAAGGCGGTACATATACTAAATATTGGAACGATACAGAGAAGATTAGCATGGCCCCTGCGCAAGGATGACACGCAAAATCGTAAAGCGTTCCACATTTTTAGTATATGTACTCGCTTCGGCGGTACATATACTATTTATGAGTATATCTGTACTTGTATATTAACACCAAATAAAATATTCTATTCTATTCTAACCTAACCTAACCGAACCTCACCTCTGGCCTAAACATAGAAAACCCCTAAATGAACCTATTTCCCATAGAGAATATTTTTTAGAAATCACTTGAGAACAAGAAAAAAATAAAAAAAAGATGAGCCTCGCACGGATTCGAACCCCGGCCCGCCGGCTTGGCATGCTGATGCTCTGCTTACTGAGCCAACCAGTTGCTTACGAGACGAAGTATGATGAAGTCATTCAGTCGGCGCCGCATAACGCCAGTCGCATCTACTGCCCACTATAACGTTCTCCCACCACGGAGTTATTACTTGCACCTGTCCGCAGACGCTAATGAAATCGGCCCTCCCAGTCTGCGTCGCCACGGCTCAAGTGTCGATGGCTTGCAGGTCGAAAGCAATGCTTTTTCGCTCCATATGAATTTCTATTGATCAGCGCAATTGCTTTGCTTTCATTGGATGGATGCTTATTTGCTTACAGAGTAGAGCGCCAATAGCGGCGGCGCAGTGGGTAGTTTATATTAATTTTAACGGATTGTATTGTATTATTATGAGTTGTGAGAGTACTTGGATATAGAAGATCTATTTTTATAAAAAAATATAATATACAGGGTGTTTCTTAAGTACGTGTAGAAAATTCAGGAGCATGTTGCTGACGTCAAAATAAGAAAAGTTCGTATAAATATATGTCCGAAAGATATTCGTTTCTGAGATACAGAGTGTCAAAGTTTAATTCTTATTTTTGTTTCTCGTTAATAAATTCCAAATTAATTGTGATATTTGAATGAAGTTCGGTATTAGGGGTATTTTTCAATGACACGAAAGAAACAAACTAATGGAAAATTTGATATTGTCATCGAAAGATACCCCAAGATACCAAACTTTATTCGAATATCACAATTATTTTCATCAACAACAAAATCTCGCTCATTGAGTCGAGATCTCGCTCGTTTTTAACTAGTGATTCACACGAGACCAACGAGACGAGACTTTTATAAAGTCTCGTCTCGTCTCGCCGATGAAATATGAAGTCTTGTCTCGAGTCTCGTCTCGCATCCTGGAGTCTCGTCTTGTCTCGCGTCTCGTACGAGAGTCTCGCAAATGTATCGCAATTTTGTCATATGTATAATCTTGTTCCAGTCTAGTACGGGATATTTACCTTCACCTACTTTTTGGGTATAATGTAGAAGTAGGAAGAGAAAATTACAACAAATATAACATTATTTATTGAAACGTAAGTACCTAATAGGTACATACTTACATAATACATCTAAACAAGAAAAAAAACATAGCATTATATATTCGAAAGTTATAAAAAAAATAAAAAGTGAGACGTATTTTCTAAACAAATAAACAAAACAAAAACTTTATTTCAACATTATTTTTCTCATTTGAGAAATAGTTATATAAGAAAAAAACTGTATTAGTCAGATCAGCCTTCACGATCACAAATGTTTTTGTTTTTCTTCCAGTCGTTAAGACATGAAGTTATTCTTTATCTTAGACTATTTAGCACAGAATTACTTATGTATAGATTTTCAGGTAGTCATTTTATTTGCGATCTGTCGTTATTGCAGAATTGCATGCGTTTACATTCCGCCGCCGTAAGAGAGAGAATAGTCCGTTTTCCTTTCACGCATTACGTCGTCTTACAACAATCATGGATTGTGTTTTTAAAGAATTTATGATCGAAATGTTGTGTCTATATGTGTTAAATAGTCTGAATTCTTTCTAAATATGTTGATTTATGAATGAAATTCTCAAGTATGCAGTCGGCACGCAAAAATATTTACCTGCGAGACTCTCGCACGAGACATCTTGCACGAGACTCGAGACGAGACCAATAAAAGTCTCTCTCGAAAACGAGACTCTCGCGGGCACCACTATTTTTAACAGCGTAGCTCGCTGGCAACACTGATTGATGCTGATTCGTTGCTTCAGCAATGCTTTTTCGCTCCATATGAATGTCTATTGATCAGCGCAATTGCTTTGCTTTCATTGGATGGATGCTTATTTGCTTACACAGAGTAGAGCGCCAATAGCGGCGGCACAGTGGGTAGTTTATATTAGTTTTATAGTTATTTATGTATTAAGGGAATTATGAGGGCCTTAATTACCGATGGCAAAGTTTGCGTCCCGAGGGCCTCCGGCCCGAGGGACAGCAATGCCAGAGGTTATTAAGGCTCTATAATTCCCGTGATACATAGATAATTTTATTTCTGACTGATTTCATTCATTAGATATACCTTCCCGATTGGAAGTTAGACATGTTTTTCCGTATAGTTTCAATGTCATCAGAACGTCAGATGATGATCTTGACTACCGCGAATAGGAGATTCCTTATTGCTACGTTATTGCGTGGTTGTTGCTATGCATTTCTTATTTAATTTTAGCTAGAGGGAATTATAGCATCTATAACATCCCAAGGGAGTTATGACCCTCATTATAGATATCGTAACTATAACGATATAAGCTTATAATGTCACTGTCAGAAATAAAAGTTTTAACGGGTTGTATTGTATTATTATGAGTTGTGAGAGTACTCGGACATATAGAAGATCTATTTTTATGAAAAAATATAACATACAGGGTGTTTCTTAAGTACGTGTAGAAAATTCAGGAGCATGTTGCTGAAGTCAAAATAAGAAAAGTTCGTATAAATATATGTCCGAAAGATATTCGTTTCTGAGATACAGAGTGTCAAAGTTTAATTCTTATTTTTGTTTTTTGTTAATAAATTCCAAAATAATTGTGATATTTGAATGGAGTTTGGTATCTAGGGGTATTTTTTAATGACAAATTTTATGTTAGTTTGTCTTTCATGGAGGTGGCGCCACCTACATGTCCGTTTTCCTTTCACGCATTACGTCGTCTTACAACAATCATGGATTGTGTTTTTAAAGAATTTATGATCGAAATATTCTGTCTATATGTGTTAAATAGTCTGAATTCTTTCTAAATATGTTGATTTATGAATGAAATTCTCAAGTATGCAGTCGGCACGCAAAAATATTTACCTGCGAGACTCTCGCACGAGACTCGAGACGAGACCAATAAAAGTCTCGTCTCGTCTAGTCCGAGTCTCGTCTCGAAAACGAGACGAGACCATGCGAGACTCTCGCGGGCACCACTATTTTTAACAGCGTAGCTCGCTGGCAACACTGATTGATGCTGATTCGTTGCTCCAGGTGGTCGTACCTCCTCTACCAGCTGGCCGGCCACTACCTGACCTCGTCCGAGCGGTCCCTCTACGACACCGTCAAGTGCACGGTGGCCGTCTTCCAGAACGCCGCCGTGCTGGAGGTGGTCCACGCGGCCACCGGCCTGGTGCGGTCCGATCCCATCATCACGGCCTTTCAGGTAATCATGAAAAGGAGTAGTTCAGTCATTATAGACTTTGACCCGTGAATAATTTTTTAGTGGTTTTTTTTTCATAGGTGTCTCGGGGGGGTCACTGGGAGTGTCGCTTTTTTCAGGTTTAATTTACAAAATATCGATCCTATCAGAAAAATTGTAAGGATCAAACTTGTAGAGAACCAAATTTACTACAATTTTTGTCTCCAATTTTTTTCTGTAGAATCAGAAATGGTTGAGTTATTCAAGAAAAACCGTTTTTTAACAAAAAAACATACGCATAAGCTTGATTTGGTCGCCATTTTGAATTTACACTCCCAGTGACCCCTCCAAGACACCTATGAAAAAAAAAACACTAAAAAATTATTCACGGGTAAGGTCCGTTATTTGGATATAATGACTGGACTAGAGGCATCTGAGATGTTTATAAGAATACTAGCTGACCCGGCAAACGTTGTTTTGCCATAAAATTATTTCTAGAAAAAATGTTTTTACATAAATATTTATCAAAGAACTTTAATTATTTTATTTTTACTTCTTTTTAGTTCGGCTATCCATGAAAACGGGATTCTTTAGTTTTTCAAACTATTCTACGTATTCTCTACTTCTTTTTAGTTCGGCACTCTATATCTCTTCATTTTTTCATTTATTTAGTACTCACTCCTTTTTAGTTTGGCTATCTATAAAACGTGTTTCATTAGTTTTTCAAACTACTATTTATTACAATAGCTGATGCTGATACCTGGCACCCGTTGTTTTGCTCTATACATTTTCTTCTAGAAAATATTTTTTTAGTTGAATATTCATCAACACACTTTTATCATCTTGTTTTGAACTTCTTTTTAGTTGGGATATCCATGAAATCGTGTTTCATTAGTATTTCAAACTACTATTTTTATTTTCTACTTCTTTTTAGTTCGAGAATCTATCTCGGTTTTTGAACTATACTATCAATTTTCTACTTCTATTCAGTTTGGCCTCGAGTTTGGCTATCTATAAAAGCATGTTTCATTATAGTTTTTCAAACTACTATTTATTACATAACTCGTCCGCCATATTGGATCCTCCATCTTTGATTTCCCAATTTTGATGAAAGAATCATAATCTCCGACCCGAAAATCACCCAGATAAAAATTTTGAATGGAATCGGATCATAGTTACAAAACTCGTCCGCCATATTGAATCCGACATTTGAAATTTCCAAATTTTGACAAACGAACTGTAGGAGTTCCCTGTATAAACTCTAGTGAATCTATATAGTGAGCTAGGTGATGACGGATAATTTTATTATTGTTATATCAGTCATTTTGGTGACAGATTATAAACTGTAGATAATATAATAAATACTTTTATAAATCGGCTATTATCTACAATTGGTGACTCTAGTGAATCTATATAGTGAGCTAGGTGATGACGGATAATTTTATTATTGTTATATCAGTCATTTTGGTGACAGATTATAAACTGTAGATAATATAATAAATACTTTTATAAATCGGCTATTATCTACAGAACCATAATCTCCGACCCCGAAAACCCTCAGATACAAATTTTGAATATAATTGGATCATTTTTAATAAACTCGTCCGCCATATTGGATCCGCCATTTTGAATTTCCTAATTTTGATGAAGAAATCATAATCTCCGACCTCGAAAACCCCCAGATACCAACTTTAAATGGAATCTGACCATAATTACAAAACTCGTCCGCCATATTGGATCCGCCATCTTGAATTTCCAAAATTTGACGAAAGAATCATAATCTCCAACCCCGAAAACCCCCAAATACCAATTTTGAATAAAATCGGATAACAATACTCGTCCGCCATATTGGATCCGTCATCTTGAATTTCCAAATTAAAAAATAGATTACGACCGATTCTCATACCTACCGAATACGCACAAAAAATTTCATACGAATCGGTCGTCCCGTTTCGGAGGAGTTCGACCACTAACACCGTGACACACACACACAAACACACCACGCCGCCCGAAAGGTTGAATGCCCAGGATCAAGTGCCGCCATATAACTAGTTTACGTTATATGATAGCTCCTCATCCCCATGTCCATCCACCCCCACTCACTAACGAGTGGACTTCAACCTTATGCATTTGGCAATCTGCATATGTTTTATAAAACCCCTTACTTGGTTTCAGTCTTTCGACTTTTAAACCTTCTAATGTGTGTTTCCTAGCCTGACTTTGCGTGGTGGTTCCCTACCCTAATGGGAAGCAAATTTGAGTTTGTATTATTTGGAAGCCGTCATCTTGAATTTATAAATTTTAACAAAAAATTCATGATCTCCGACCTCAAAAACCCCCACTTACCAATTTTGAATGGAATCGGACCAAATCTTGTCCGCCATCTTGGAGCAGCCTTTTTTTTATTACAACAAAAATTCCATAACTCCGATCAACTTGAAATTTGGCAGGTGTTCATAATTTCGGTGACAATACATTATGGATTTAATCAAAATATTTTTTCACATTATAGTTGGCCTTGACAAACTCCACATTTGGTGTCATTTAACCGACCACGTATCTCTCACCGTTAAAAAGATACCCATGGTGAGCATGGTAAGTGGGACACTCCACCGGTTGCTGCCAATGGAATTTGCTATAACTTTGAATCTATACCCTGAAACTGTTGGATTCTGTCCAAAAAAGGGCAATTCGTCTCGTGGGTGATGCCTCGGTCACAAACTCACTCACTTCTCTGGAACACCGTAGATGAGGTGGCGATCTGGCTCTATTTTATAGATATTTTCATGGACGATGCTCTTCTGAAATATCAACGATTGTTCTTCCCTTGGCAGTCCCCGCGAGATTAACCCGTCGAGTTGGGTTTCGCACCCCTTCGTGGTCACTTTGGAGACCTGCAGAACATCTCTTTCCAAAGACTCGTTCATCCAACGAACAGCGAGGCTCTGGATGGAACACATTGCCAACGGAGGTGTTTCCCGAGGCATATAACCTCCAGAAATTTAGAAGAACACCGATTTCTACCTTATTTTCCTTGGTTCTCACGATGTTCTCTGAACATTACAGGATATCCCTTTTCGTGGGAACCAGAACATAGAAAAATGTATTTTTTCTATAGTTTTTCATGTGATCTGATGACCTTGGCGACCGCGAATAGGTCGTGTAAGTGTAGTTTTGAAAGTGGCGGAAACATTGAATATGAATAGTTTGAAAACCAAGTAGTTAGTGGCAATCTAATCATCATCATCAAATAGTGATGAAAAGTTGGAGAATCCAAGAAAATAATGAAGGTTACTTCCCGGAATTCATAATTTTGTCGAAAGTATTTTGCAAATGCAATGATGAATTATTAAAAAAAGTGCTCGAAATTATTTCCATGAAACATCTACTTTGTTTTTAATTGAAGTTGAGAAAAAATTTCAGGATGCGGACAAGTTATAAACAAAGACAAACCAACTTATCCTATTTAACCTCCAACAATAATTTTATTATATTATTTCGTGTTCCATTGGGAATGCAACGTTTCACATTTTGGAGAAAACTAACGTAGTGCGGGTGCAAAACTGGTGCAAAACGGTTGGGATGTATTTTTTTAAAATGCGATTTTCTCTGGAACGGTACGATACAATATCGATTGAAATAGAGTATACTATTTTTGTAGAAAAAAATATGAAGGAATCAAACGGTGGAAACAAAATGTCAAATTTGTCACCGCTCAGTCACTCCCACATCTCACAGATATGGAAATAACAGTTTTGGAGCGTTTCTTTCCTTTCTTTCTCTCAGATGGCGTTACACTCATATTGTCTGTGACAGACGCCTCCGAGGGAATAACGTACCGACCTGTATGTAGGTGTCGAAACCGGTATGTAGGTGTCGAGCGTCAACCTGGGTAAATTGAAATCAATAGACATTCAAGAAAGAAACACTTGCATTCGTTTATACAAATCAATGCTTGGCATTAGCCAGGAAAGTAGTTGTTTTTCTTCCGTCATATACCATTGTTATTCATTTTATGAACATTTGTGGAAATGACTGAGTTTTGTATCTATTTATTTAAGAACGTATAAGAATTGAGAGAATTTTCTGCCCGTCTAATTACAGGTAGCGTCGAGGGTGCTGGTCGTGTGCGGCGTCCTGATGGCTACCGCGTCGGCCAGAGAGTCGATCGGTCTGAGCCTGGCTTTGCTCGCGTGGTGCGTAACCGAGATCATTCGCTACTCCCTGTATACGTTGACGATCGTCGGTAGTGTTCCCCATTTCTTGAAGTACTTGAGGTGAGTCGTTTGCGATCATGGTTTACGTAGGGTCCCTTGATGCAAACTGACAGATCATAGCTCCTTTCTCTTTTGATCATCTAGTGGCTTTGGTTTCGTGTATTGGCGTCCCTGACATGACATTGCTGTCACGTCACATCCATAGGCGTTGAAAGATATCCTACAAAATTTTAATTTCATACTTTATCTTGATACGACCTTATTCAATTTTGTCATGGAAGGATGGTAAAATGTGCTGCTTTAGTCTGTATCAATCAGTTGGATGACAAATTTGAATTTCATCAAATACAAATGAACTTAGAACATGGAAAGTGAAGTGACCGTATGGGGAAAATTGGTAAATACATCAGCAAAATATTCAAGGTAAAACTAATACGAAATCATATATTATACTTTCTCATTGTGCCTATAACTATCCACTCCACGAGTTTTTGAATGCATTTAGTAGAAACAGTTTTGATTAAAACGGAGGATTAAAAGAAGAGGTATATGCCCTACCATTTCTAAAAGTACCTGTACCTACATTCAGGAAATATTAAGTGTTTGTGAAAAACTGCAAAAATGATTCCCAACATGAATATATATACAGCACACATCACATATGAGCACATTAGTTTGAATACCTACATAACATTTTCGACCATTTCTCAACCATAAGGCTTAGTCTGAAATCAAAATTCATTTATTGATAGGTACTGCCTAAGAACAGTCCCATTTGGTAAAACGTATTGAACTTCCAGAAAAATTTGCTCACTGCCTCACAAAGATTATGCTGGAGTTTGGATATAATATTAGAAGTGAATGAGAAATTACATGTGGAACTTACGTATGATACGCCAATGTCCTCAATAGTCAATATAACCTAAAAAACAACAAATGTCAGAAATCTAGTGTTTATCCCCAGAAATGAATAAAGATGGAACTATATAACTGTTTCACAAACACTTTAGAGTGAGAGGAGACGAGGATCTGTCCGTACGCTGTTAAGATGGCAAATACGTCAATTTACATGAAGGGGCTCTAGGTTTACGAATTGTCGAATTTTGTTGCAATGGATGACAATCAGAATTATTTAAACAATTTCTGTTTGTATCAGAAATTCTTCATTAAAAATGTATGCAAATTGTAGACGAAAGGAAAATCAGGGAGATTGTTCAAGGTACTTACGTTTTTATAAGAACTCTGTGTAAAAATGAACGTAAAACACAATTTGTATGTGAGCAAAAATTTTACAATCAGAATATGGATACAAACCTGAGAAATCGAAAACTTTGATACCTCAGCAAATCGAAGAGTTTTTATCTTCTACGTCAGATGAAAACTTCTCATTCACAAAGGTTAGTAAGCAAGCCATTTTAATAGAAATTCATGTATCCTATGGACTGGACACATCTACAACCAATATCACTAATATGTGTCTCGTTGGTTGCATGCAGTTGCATAGTATTATGTATTATCTTCTCCATTCCCATTCCCCTCGGATTATCTTGTAGGTTAGTAGGTAGCTTAATCTAATTTTCGGAATTATGGGATGAAGAGGAATTATATGAGTTTGTAGAAGAAGTATAGTATGCATCGCGTTTTCAAACTCTTCTAGACACTCGTTTATTAAACAGTCCGCACTGCTGCGCTCGTGCTCAAAATACTCGTTACTAAAAGGACGTTTACATCACTTGTTACATAATATACTATTTCACTACAGGCGTTACAAACAAGCGTGACTGTTATATTGTTATAGCGCATTATATCATGATAATAATGAAATGCAATAGCTTGACATTTCCATAGAGCATAAACAGATGAATAACATTTTTTCAAAACCCACTAATACATTATGTGTTATGGGAATTTTGGTGAAATTGAATCGTCATATTCATTTCTGAAAAATAGAAGACCCTGTATACCACAAAATATCTTGATATTAGAATTCAAGTATTTCATCCAACTTTTATATCTACAATTTTTGGGTAGGTTGCGTTCGGCTCAATTTTCGATTGGCCCAATTTTCGATTCACCCGATTTTCAATTCGCCCACTATCTCTGAATATACCCGAACGATGCGTTGTTGCCAAATCTGATGAATGAATGTGGGCTCATCATTATTAAATTTTTTGATACACATAATATGTATGTATGGTACATATTTCGATTTGCCCAATTTTCAAATCATCCAATTTTCGATTCGACCAATTTTCGATTCACCCAATTTTATTCACCCAATTTTCGATTCGCCCAATTTTCGATACGCCCAATTTTCGAATCACCCAATTTTTTTTGAACTTCTGGAGATTATATGTTGTTGGGAATACTTCTTCAGGCAATGAATTCCAGAGCCTAGCCGTTATATAAGGAAGGAAAATATTCTTATCTGCATAAGGAAGGAGAATACCTTTTCCAAACTACCCAACCTACCTAACTCGGCTGAATTGAAAATTGGGTGAATCGAAAATTGGGCGAATCGGAAATTGGGCGAATCGAAAATTGGGTGAAACGAAATGTTGGCCCAACGACATATTTGAATGTGAAATGATTAAATGTAAATTTTGTGGAAATCTTATTGTTTGCGAAGTTTTCACATTTGCCATGGGTTTCCATCAAGTAACGGCCGAGTCAATTCAAAAAATGTGAAATGATTGTTGAAAATTCCCGTTTCATTGAACCCGAGTAAATGTGGCATTATTAGACAACAACGCATCTTTCGGGTATGTTCGGAGACGGTGGGTGAATCGAAAATTGGGCGAATCGAAAATTGGGTCAAACGAGACGTTCCCCAATTTTTCTGTATCTTCAAAAACAAACAAGTTGTCTAAGAAACGCACCCTGTAACATTCAGTCTGAATTGAGAGGCCAGGTAGACGCGTGGTAGAAGCGTCAGTATTCTATTCACGTTGGATTGCCGGTTCGTGGGTTCGAACCCAACGACAGCAGACATTTTTCTTATGGCATAAGAAAGTGTGTGGGATCACAGGTTATGAGGTAAGGCCCCCGTCATTCCTTGCTCGCACAAGTCTCTTGAAAGAACTAAATAATTTGTATCTAGTACTCCTACGTAGATAAGCAATGTGAAAGCGTATTCCCTTGGAAGTCAGAAGGGACTGGCTGAATGCGGTGGCGGATATTTTTTTTCCAGCTGCTCCAGTGGGATGAGAATGTAAGATGGTACTGATGGTACTGGTTGCGTTTTATTTGTTCCATTCTGGTAGCGGTGGTGCCGGTGGTGGGAACAGAATGACTTTTACAAATGAAATGACAAACTTCATGACCTTGCATGGGAGAATTTATATAAGAGGTTATATTTATGTATTGGGGCTCCAAGTAATTTAAAAATCATGATACTAGAGTTGAGAATCTAGAAAATGAATCAACGAAGAATATTTGGAGCAGTGATTGTGGTGATTGGAGAAACTTCTCTGAGATCGAGAGAATTATTTTCATCTGGGAATGAACATATGAAACCTGTCTTACTTGTAACAATCATAAACTTGAGGAATTCATGAACAAAATGTCTTCTGAATGTCTTTTTTGACAACTGTCAACAGTCATTCCTTGTAGTGAGACGGATTGGGAAATAGCAACCCGAATCGGAAAAGTTGCAAATAAAACGACACATTAAAGTGATTCCGGTGGCGGAATCGGATAAATAAAACGCAATCAGTAATTCTCTGGGTGGCAGTTACATGGTTACGACTCCAACGCGAAAGAGAAAACAGCACAGACAGAGAGGCGGGCGATATATAAAATATTGCGTAATTGCGTAATGGCCTGCTAGAGGGTGCAAAGTAATTTTATTTTTGGTCGAATTTTTAATTTTTGTTATTTTTTCGTTCATATTTCAATGTTTGTACCTTTTGATAATGTGATATTATTTGATTTTGATTTATATACTTTTTTCTTTATTTTGTTATTGTTACCAATTAAAACCGTAAAACGTAAGTTTCCTATTGCTTTTCTTTTTCCCAAATATTGGATATCAGACCTAGACCCCCCAGGAATGAATCTTTATTACGCCACTTCCTACAAAAGTCTCGTCACGAAAGGTCATCTAAGCACTCGCCTGGTAGAACTCGTCAAAATTTCGAAGTCATGCTAGAATATGTTGCCTTCTATACCTTTTGAATATTGAATATGCTGAAAAATCGAATGATATTTCTACACGCGAAGGTGCATATCAGTTCGTTTTATTCACAATGATAGATTAATAGATCGATGTTAGTAGTTTTCTGTAGCAAGGTTTTATTGAAGTTAATTGCTTAATAGATATATTTACGATCATTAAATTTAATTATTTTAAAATGTTTCTTATAATTAAATATCCTGAATAGATTGAAAGGTTTCCTACCACGGTAATTTATTTTGTTGTGCTATTAATATTTTTATATATAAATATAATGACAAAATACCTGCTAATGATATTTTGATGATGTAAATTTATATTTACCAAATATTTTCGTGAATATTTATAATTCGCAATTATGGCTGGAGTGTTTTGTCAAAAATAATAGGTGTTTATAAACTTTATAACTTCTGACACTTAGATTAGTATAGACCCAGAAAATATTGACCACACATTTCAAAAACTTTTTCTGCATTATTGTAGCTTAGGTACTTACACTATTTAATGATTGATTCAAGAGAATGGCATTTTTCATCATCTTTATTATTCCGAATAAACGATTTACAATTGTTCATAACAAAGACATTACAAATGGCATTACATTCAAATTACTATAGGTTTAATCATTCTAATAATAGTAAGGGGTTGAACTGATTCGCGTATCAGTAAGGAAGGTCGTGTCTATTCATCGGGGAGCCCCGACATATTGGTGTACATTTGCTATACAGGGTGTTTCAGATTTAAATGTACATACGACACCTGTAGATAGAGTACCCTTTGATGGTTCTATATCAACCCCCATCGATGTGTCAACCGTCTTTAAAAACTGAGATACAATCTTGATCTTATCAAATTCTTCATCTGGTCAGCACTTTGTATAATCTAT